CTTGCGTGTAACCCCGTTACAGACTGGGATGTCGGTGATTACAAAAATCGTTGTGCTTAAGTACAGACGATCCCCTCGGTAGTAATCCCTAGACTTGGAATACTCCCTCAACAGCAATAAATTTGCTGTTCCTGTTGACCAGTTGCTTACAAACCCAAGATATTATTCCCTTTTGTTGTAAAATGGAATACATTTGACGTCAAATAATTCTATTCTGGGATGCTTAACTATGGGAACAGCCATAACTGCACAAGAGCAATATCGTTGCCACGAATGTTGAACCGATGAAGCCTATCCTTTTGACCACTTTGGGCATGACTCGGGTTTAGGATCACGGAGAAGCGTTCTGCGATCAGTCTAATTGCCTCATCCATGACGGTGGCACCCTTCTCTTTACACCAGGGCCTCCAATAGGCAAGGAACTGTCGATTTTTGAATGGCGCACCGCGTGCCGCATTTTGTGACCAACCGCGAGACCGGAGGTGGCTCCAGCTTTTTCTGCGCATTAATAACTACCAGATCATTGCTTCTGACGCAACCAGAGGAAGATCGTAGATTCTACGAGCCCATTAATCTAGCTCTATTAGGGACAAATTAGGGATGTGAGAATGGTGCTAACATATTTGTACAGCAGTCATTGAGTGTTGGTGAGTGTGAGGAGGACTGATTGGGCTAGAAAGGAGGATATATTGGTGTGGTGAGGCAAAACTGGCAATAGGAGAGCAAAACAGGGTGAAACACCAGTAACGGGCTACATCAATCGTAAATTTTGTGCACTGTTCCAAGCTAAAGGGACTCGGATCCATTTTTATGGGATAGGAATACCCCTAGACAGAAATAAATTGTTGGCTAGAAGCGCTATGACTGCCGAGGGGATTGTCTGTATTTTTTTTGCTCAGAAGTTCAGACAGAATCTTGACTTAGAAGTTTAGACACCAAAACAAGTACTTTGTATCGAAAAAAGTGTGCACCGCCTTTGATCTATTTTTATTATGGTGGGCCATAAGCTATGAACAGTCAAGGAAAGAACATTTTTTCAGAAAAAGTGCTTTATGGTGTTTTCAGAATTTTTTTGAAAGAGAAAACCATGGTTCGAGCGCTGCCGAAGAGTGTCATCGAGGACATCAGGGCGGACACTCGACAAATGCTGTCAACACGCAAGGGCTTCGAGGATCAGCCCGATATCCGCCGAATAGCTCTAAAACACCGTTGCTCTACTAATCACGGTGGCATCCTATCATGCTTCAACCAAGTGCAAGGTAATCAAGGATCGGTGGCATCCTATCATGCTTCAACCAAGTGCAAGGTAATCAAGGATCGGTGGCATCCTATCATGCTTCAACCAAGTGCAAGGTAATCAAGAATCGATGGAGGAATGCAATGGTGTCCATGAGAAAATGGGGTCTAGTATTTTAAGGCTGCGAATGTGCAGCAGCTACATGTGGTGCTGGTGGAGATCAGCAGCCTGGAACAGTTTAGTGCTCCTCGTTCTGGCAGTGCTCCTTGTAGGCAGCCTCGTCCAGCAGGTCGTCTAGGTCCGACACGTCGTCAAGCTGCAGTAAGTAGTAAAACGTAGTCAGCAAAGCTACTGTGTCAATTCTAGATGTAGTGCAACAAACCTCGAGCTTGATGAACCAGCCGCCGGTCATGGCCTCGTCGTTCACGAGGTTGGGGCTCTCAGCCAGGTCCTGCAATGACAACATCAGTTATTAACATTATCCTTTCACAGACGCATCAGCGACTGCTCTCACCTCGTTCACAGCCGTAACCGTGCCCGCAGCGGGCGTGTACACGTCGCTGGCAGCCTTGACGGACTCCACGGCACCGAAAACGTCGCTTCACGTCCAACGAATGATACACAGCAACGTTAGTATCCGTTGGCACACCATAGACTTCAGAAAAGCACTTACCCCTTGGCGAACTTGTCGCCCACCGACGGCAGGTCCACGTACACGACGTCGCCCAGCGAGTTCTGGGCAAAGTCGGTGATTCCGATGGTGCCCTCCTTGCCGTTGAGCGTCACGTACTCGTGTTGCGGCGTGTACTTGGTCGAGAAGAAGGCGAGACCCGCGGGGCGCTGCGAGGTCGCGCGCCAGGCCGCAGGGGTGGCCGACTTGAGAGCACGTGCACGGAGTGTCTGCGAGAGGACGCGGAGAGCCATAGTCTACAGAGGAGAAGAGGAGCGAGCTTCGGTTGCCTTCGAATTGTCGAGTGAAGAGATCATGGTGGTGCGATCAGGTGGTGCGATCAAGTGGTGTGGCTACATCCGAGTATCGTAAATTACTATGCTCATACAAACCTTACGTACAGTTGACAACCATATGGCATCAGGAGTGTTTTGGCGCTGTAACTTATAGCCTGTAAGCCAGCGCCACTGGCTCAGTGGTCGAAGCAGGTCAAGCCATGTTGACGCGTTTCGCTCTGCGTCCTGCAGGACGTACAGCTCTGCGCAGCTCCTTTTGTCGCGGTCTAGCTGCTTCGTCTGGTACTGATGATGGTATCAAAACAGGGCGTCGCTGGACGGACCTCTTCACTACTACGGAACCCGCAAAGCTGGTCAAGCGCAAAGTGGCTATTGTGACCGGCTACATGGGCACGGGCTACCACGGGCTACAGCTGAACGACAACGTGAAGACCATCGAGGACGATGTTCGTCAGGCTATCTTCGATGCAGGTGCAATGCGCGAGTCCAACTTTGTGGACCTGGGCAAGATTGACTGGGCACGCAGCAGTCGTACCGACAAAGGCGTACACGCTGGCTGTATTGTGGTACGTGCTGCAGCTAAACAAGTGTGTGGTGGTGAGATTCTGATACTTTTGATTTTGTTTTGCTTGCTGCAGTTCTCTGGCAAGCTGCTGATCGACGAGGAGAACAAAATGGACCCGGTGTCGGGTCGAGTTTACGGACTGAAGGAGGCACTGAACGCCTCTCTACCTGACAACATCCGCGTGTTTTCCTGCACGAGAGTAAGCAAGCGCTTCTCTGCTCGCAAGAACTGCGTGCTACGGGAGTACGAGTACTTCATGCCACTCTCGTTCCTGAAAGATAGCCTCGTCGGATCGGATGGCGAGGACTTTGACACGGACGAAGCTGTTGCCGAGTTCTGTCGCGCACTGCGTCGCTACGAGGGAGTGCACGATTTCCACAACTTTACCCGCTCGAGATCGTATTTCTACAAAATGCAAGCGAAGAGGAAACATTACAGAGCTAATTACCAAAGGAACGCGGCTGAAGACGAGAGTGACGACGTAGACGCTGAGGATGTTGAAGATGAGAGTGCTGAAGTGGACTCTGTTGTCGACGACTACTCGGAGGAGTCGAGTCAGTTTGAAGATGAAGAGGAGTTGACTCGCAAGCTGCTGCTTCGTCACCGCCGATCCATTTACTCGTGCTCGGGCACTCTCGTCCCGGATTTCTGTGGTGAACCACACTTGCGTGTTCACATCGTCGGCCAAGCTTTCCTGCTCAATCAGATCCGCTGCATGGTCGGTGGTGCTCTGGCTGTGGCGACGAAGGGCATGTCCCGAGTTGAGTTCGATGCTGCTTTGTGTAAGCAACTTCTGATGTGTTCTACCATGCCATTAGGCTGCTGACGTCTGACTGGATATGACTTGTTCTCTTTCCTGTAGTGACGAACCGTATTGTGCGCGTCCCGATTGCTCCAGCGGAGGGACTTGTTCTTCTTAGCAGCTCGTTCGGAGGAAAGAGCCACACTGTCTCGCTGTATGAAGACCCAAACACCGAACTGGCGAAAGAGCGCAAGGACGTCGTGCATCGCGTTCTCTTGAACCGCAAAGAGGATGAGGAGATGAGACAGTTCCGTGAGGAGGTAATCTACAAGGAGATCTCGAGAAGCTGGGATATGGAAGAGAAGATGGATCGGTGGCGCGCCTACCTCGAGCGTTGTTACGAGGCTAATGAGCGTCTCAACCAGGACGAATTGTCAGCTGTGTTGTACGAGATGGACCAAGCCAAACTCGCGACCAAGAACAAGAACCAAGCACACGTTGAGCAAAATCGCTTCGAACTCACTGAGTACGGACGTAAGAGTGTGGGCGCTTTGCTGCCGAAACAGTTCGCCACGAAACTGTGTGTCCGATACAGTGTGGCTCCCGGTATCTTCACATCGGACCTGCGCCGTGCCGTCACGCGGGTAAGTTTGTCTGAGATGGAGTAGAAAGTTGGCTCCAGTGCTCTAATGCGTATTGTTGGTCTCTGCTACAGCATTTGAAGACCGGTAAGATCCCTCTCGATGCGGATGAAGAGCAGATCCTGGAATATATCGACAACTATGGCCCAGCAAACCTCGCCAAGGAAGGCCGCAAGCTTCGTCTTAGCATTCGAACGTGATGGTAGCATAAGGAGCTCCTCAGCAACAATAGAGTAGCATTGTAGCCATCGCGTCATGGCTACATGAATATTTGGTGTGTGTACACCAAGTGGTCTTAGTTCTCCCTTTCGCTATTCTCGAACGACGTCACCAGTCAGCAGCAACAGGATCGGCGCGTTGACACGACACTACTTTCTACAATGGTGTGGACCGTCACGCATCTCTCAACTAGAAGTATATCTAACTTGTGGGCTATGAATTGTCCTCAGTTTGGCTTTGGCGGAGACGGCAATCCCTTTGGCGTGCAGTTTAACTTTGGTGACTTCCCACAGCGGTGCGTGTGTCGGCCTCACCAAGGGATACGATACGAAATACTCATCATACATGAATTGCTGGGCCTGTAGCTTTGACGAGCACTACCGAGTGTATCCCGTTTCATTCTGCGACAAAGCACACCTAGAAGATGGCGACAAAAGTACGTTCCTTAGCTGCAGAATGTTATTATCGAGACCCACTAACAGTATTCTGCTGCTTGTCTCTTTGATAGTTTTGCTACCTCCTTCAGCTCTTGAGACACTGGGTATGCGTTGTATTGATGGCATGGTTGTATTGATGTGGAGCATGGAGTCGAGCGACTAATTCCTGCTTATTTGTTGTTTTAGCTCGTCTGCACATTGAATATCCGATGCTTTTCAAAGTGACGAATGAAGGAGTGGAGCGCTCGTCACACTGCGGAGTACTGGAGTTCAGTGCTCCAGAGGGGAGCTGCTACATGCCGTACTGGGTAAGGTTACGTGCTACTATTTGAGCCTTTGATCGTCGTTTTGACAATAAAGTTTTGATCGTAAAATGACGACAGATGATGCAAAATCTGTTCGTGAAGGAGGGCGGAATTCTCAATATTCAGAATGTGTCGCTGCCCAAGGCGACATTCGTGAAGCTACGGCCACAGTCGCAGGATTTCTTGGATATCTCCAACCCACGCGCAGTGTACGCTAGCCTTCGTAGAAGTTGACGTGCCTTGTGCTACGTATTAATTAATGTTCTGTTGTGTGCAGTTTGGAGGGATCTCTTCGAAAGTTTTCGTGCATGACGGTGGGCGATACAATTTGCCTCAAGTACAACAACAAGAACTACATGTTGGATGTGCGTGAGGTCAAGCCTGAGCCTGCTGCCTGTATTATTGAGACAGATTGTGAGGTGGATTTCGAGCCTCCAGCCGACTACGTCCCCCCTGTACCCCAATCTGCAGCAGTGGCCCCTCCCGCGGCGCCGTCAGATATTCCTTATGGAGGTACAAACACGCTTTGGTCAGAATGTAAAATCGCCTTATTATTCGTTTTCTAACACCAATATCTTCATGACTGCATGGCCAGGTGTTCCAACGATGAAAGCAGAAGACGTCAAGCCTCCTCGTCTCGGTGGCACTGGATTCGGCAGCGGGTTGCGGCTTAAGAAAAGTGGCGAGAAGAGCTCGACAGATGCAGATGCACTGCGTGCTGCTCGCTTGCGCAAGTACGAGGCGTTCCACGGTACTGGTCACTCGCTCAGTGGTAAGACATCCACATTCAGTGGCGCTACGGCTGGAGGTACTCGCCTGGGAGGCAGCAGCAATGGAGGTTACTCTCTCAACGGAAGCAGCAGCGCCAGCAACAGCAATGACACGACTGCCAAAGCTAAACAATCGGTGGGCCACCGCCTTAATGGTGAGGCGGTGGGCGCTTCCGATGACGAGGAGATGAAGGATGAGGAGATGAAGGAGAACGAAGAGCACAAGGGTGTCGTCCCGTTCCAAGGCGAAGGCCGACGGTTGAGATAAATGAGAGGCGCCTAGCAAACGTTTGGCGACGAAGGTTTCAAGTTATTGAGCCGCTTGGCTCCCGTACATGAGTGCAGCCGTCGCTAATGGGAGGATGTCGATGAATAGGACACACTTTCTCAAGATGTATCCATGCCTTTAGCTAACTTGTACTTAATATCTGTCTATTTGTCAGCTAGCGCGACCAGTACACCTGACGTGACCTTGGTGCGTCGAACCATCCCACAGCCCTCCATATCGGCTAGATGAAACTCGAGCTGGAAGCGCGAGTGTTTCGTCTTCAGCTTCTTCAGTTGCTGCTCATGCATCTCCTTGTATTTTGTGCGCTTCAGCGTGCTCACGATCTGCGTCCGAGTCTTCTTGATGGCAGACACAAGTTTTCCTATCCCCGGCATTGAGAAGGAGTACGCCTCGTCATCTAACCGAGTCGTTGGCAGCAGGAAACCAAGACGTTGAATGCATCTAGTAATATTCCCACTCATGGTCAGTCAATACGTTAGACCGAAAATTACGTTGTCTTTCGTCACGTACCCCATCATAACTCGAATCTCCGATTCGTCTGAAAAACTCACGACCTTACTCATCCTCGATATCAAGACTTGTAATGGAGCAGTAGACAATGAAGTGAGAGTCGGAAGCGCTCGTCCGTACGCTGCCATAGCGTTCAGTTTTAAGGAGATCGCTGAATCTCCTGGGTGCTGACGTAGCTGCTCACGAAATATATTCTCGTACTTCTTCACTTCAGCAATGTAGTCTTCTGCACGAATAATTACCGTGTCTTCTGATCCCGTTGGGATTCTAAATGTTACCAACTTGCCTTTGTTTCGCAGCCGATGAACCTTCAGACGACAGTAAAATGCAAGTTAGTTTATTAAACGAAGGTCGGTGCATCGTAAGCTTTACATTCTGGTCGATGAATGTCCGATTTGGTAGAATAGTGTATCTGCGAGTACAAAATATCATTTACGAAAGAGTAAGAGCAGCCGCATCGAATCAAGTGTATAAGCTAAGAATTACAGTTGGTGCCAGACTACCACCGGGGGAAAACCAAGAGCTGCAAACCCGTCGGCGTTGCGACTCAGCAGCAACTGAATGGAGGCCATCGTGTCGTCGATGAGGTCGGCGGAAGCGCCCCATTCTCCGTCATCGTCCTCGATTGCGGTGGCTTGCTTGCGCTTGCGTCGTCGTAGCATGAAGTTGAATTTCGTTTTTCGTTGGCTTATAAAGGTGGCTAATAACTCGTCTAAGTAGCGCGTCAAATTAACAGCTTATCCTAAGGTAACAGAATGGTGGATCCTGTCCCCGACTGGCAGATCTTGTTTTTAGCATTCCCTGGATTTTGCACAAAACTAAATTTCGCAAACGGTCCATGTTTACATACACGCTGTGTATACATTTTCATCTTAAAATATTAACAACTGACTGTCATTCATCGACTTGCCAAGCAAACGAGACAACCACAACACCGGAACTTGCTAACAAGAGACGATTGCATGGACCCACCTGCCCCAGGTCCTGTGGGGACTGAAGCTACAAGCTGTCAGCCGCCAACTCAGCTCACGGTTACTGGGAAAAGAAAAGTTACATGCGACGAAGCATACATGACGGCGGACGATGCCGCTACGAGCCGCAATATTACAGGGTCGACAGACACAGGCGACAATAGACTGAACGTTGGAAATGATATGCAAAGAAGATTATTTTTATCGTGGCAAGCTTTTGAAGCATATCTGTCTGAATACGAGGGGCTGACATTCCAGGTAATGGCAAAAGTACAGTATTTGCTCTGTCTAAAAACGCTGAACTAACTGCTATAATTCTCATTCTTTAGAAATTTTGCGTTCGATCCAACAAGACAGCAGTAGCGCGGAACAAAGCTATTGATCGCGAGAACTCTTCAGCTCGACCCATCCCGCTCGAATGGAAATTCTACGCAAAGACCTACGAGTACACACATGCTGGGATTTACAAAGCCAGAGGGGAAGGAAAGCGTTCTCGTCAGGAGTCACGTGCCTTGGACTGTAAAGCGCAGGTACGTTAATTGAACAAATTAGTATTGTTGTTAGCAATTGTTATTTTTCAGATTCTAATTTGTAAATGCTGTAGTTTAACTTGTGTGTCCGCTGCAATGGACAAAATGGAGAGTTCACATTGTGTGTGACCAAGACTACACTTGTGCATAATCACGCGCTAAGCCTTCGTACGTTCCAGCACTACCCTTCAACGAGACTGGCAATACCGAATGAGGTTATGGACACGGTCGATGTTCTTCAGCGTTCTGGAGTAAAAAGCAAGAGGTTGCTCAAATACATCAGAGAGAATTCAAGTTGTAAGGTAGTAGGGCGTGATGTACACAACTTGGTGGCTCGCCTTAAAGCCAGCGAATCTGGCTCAAGCACAGTTGCGGACAGACTACACAAATGGATGACGGAGTTTGCCAATGAGCCTGGCAACATCGGACATACTTTTGTGCGCACGATAACTGAAAAGGTATGGCGTGCGCTTCAATTTAACGAAACACTGACTAATATGCTTATTTTGCTATTAGAAAATTGCAACTTGCGTAACTTTACAGACTCGAGCAATACGTGAGATGTTCAAACGATTTCCCGAAGTCCTGCTTATCGACGCCACCCATGGAACCAATGTATCGAAGTACAAAGTGTTTTCATTTATGGCACACGATGCCTTTGGTCACGGCCAATACGTGCAGCACGCAGTTGTGCAGAACGAGCGCTACGCGAGTTTGCTCACGGAAATAGAGACTTTCAAAAAGCACAATCCCGATTGGACGAAAACACGGAGCTTGGTAATTGATAAAGATTTCACAGAGATGAGCGTTGTGAAGACGGCGTTTCCTGACGCGGTGATACTCCTGTGCCAATTTCATGTTATCAAGTATTTACACGAAGAAATTGCACATTCGGAGTACGGCTTTACGACATGGCAGAAGGAGCAGTTGAGATCTGTGATCTGCATGTTGGTGTATGCAACTACCGAGCGCGCCTACCATAGGCATCGAGCTTACTTGAGGTATCTGGTCAACTTGGGATCTGCTGGTACCGAGCCCTCGTCTACACAACCAAGGCATCCGTTTGATGTGTATTTTACCAACAACTGGGATAACTGTACGGGTATGTGGTGCATCTACGAGCGGCAGAACATTGTGACCCTTGGAAATGATACGAGCAATCGATTGGAGTCGTCATGGAAGCAACTTAAGGATGTTGTTGATCCATTTATGACTCTGGATGAATGTGTAGCTGCTATGATGTGCTACTAGACTCAAATGGACAATTGGTTTCTGGCTCAGGCGTTTAAACTGAGCGCGGTTCAGCACGCGAACTACGACGACAAAATGAACCATGTGGCTAATGTAGTGAGTGAGTACGCGTGTGGCTTGATTGAGACGCAATACGATTTTGCAGTGAAGCGTGCTGCTTATAGCTACAACGAAGATCTATCTGGCCTTTTCGTTGTTAATAACAACACTGACGAAGAAGATTTTCTCGATGAACCTGCTGCTGAATATTCTGTGGCTCGTGAAACGTGGTCATCCTCGTGCAAGTTTATGATTACTCATTTACTACCATGTCGGCATGTATGTTACCTCCGGAAAAAACTGAAAATGAACCCGATCATCCCAACCCACGTTTTAAATACTCGATGGTTGTTATCAACACTTCGAGCACCGTGTGATCTCCCGATTACTGAAGCGTTATCCTTTGATGTAGCTGATGTTATTACTCGCCCTATTGCACCGCGGGATGCCAATCGAAAGTATCGGGAGGCGCGCGAAGTCACATCGACTTTATGTAGCACTATATGCGAATTTGGTATGGCGGAGTACAGGACGGCAAAACGAGTTTTGGAACTACTATAGCAGATATTCAATGGAGGTTACGGTGAAGCGGCTGAGAAAAAGCTGGTAACTTTGACACATCGCGACGAAGAGTTGACCGCACTGGGTAGGACCGCTTCGCCTGCACACGAAGCCGACATATCGCACCCCCCCCCCCCCCCCTCCCAGTTTCTCCGCCTATGGGGTCCTTAGAGGCACTTCTATCTCCGGTTAACGGAGATGTTTTGATTAGGTCCTGCGGCGGGAATAATCAATCGCATTCAAGAGAACCTGAGTGTATGGTACAGCCTTTAATTGAGCGGCCAAACCACATTCAACCAGCGGAAACGGAAGAGCAGACTTTAACTGTTGATGATGACAATCATGTCGACTTCAATGTTATGAGTCCACCGCGGCCGCGAGGAAGACCGCGACAGAAGCCAAAAGCAAAGAAGGCAAAGCGAAACATCTCCATCCGGATGGCTACTGAGGACTCAGAAATGTTTGAGAAGCAGCTCAATTTATCTACTATTGCCGGGACGTTGGATGTCGATGCAGACTATTCGACGATGCAGATATTACGCTGTTTCAAACTGTACCACTTCGAAAAGAGACAAAAGCCCCCTACAGCATACGAACTGTGCAATATCCCGCCTGGCAAGTTACTACTGGCTCCCAAGATGCTGTTTCGCGTGCTCCCTATCGAAATATTGAGCCGATGCCAGGCCAAGGTCACTGCACTTCAGAAAAAACGCAAAGGCCTTTCCAAAGTGAACACAGCAGTGGAGATACATGGAGTGGGTGTTTTTGCAGCCACTACTCTGTCCTTGATGAGAAATTGGCACAAGGCTATGGAATCTTTGCGGCTGGTTGACAAAACTGAGAAGTGGGTGAAATTAATCGACTTTAATGTCGATATTCCACCCCCAATATATTACGGAAGAAGACGAAGAGCTAGTTCATCGCATCCAGAAGCTTCGCCTGCTTTCTTTCGATACGGAACTACTGTACATTGCGGGGAAAGAGACATTGGGAGACAAATCGATACAAACCATATCAGCAAAGCTGTTTGCACAAGATCAATCGATTGTTGCACTCGATGGCACGTTGTTCGGTTTAGTACGGGACGGAATAACAACAACACATGACGATGTTATCAGGGGTGCCTTGGACGGTGTTTCAAGGGAGAAAATATTAATACCACTC